GTCAATCCGCGCTTCCAAATACGCCTAACAGCCAAAAAAAAATTCCAAATGGAAATTAATAAACGTAGATTTGCAAAAGACAAAACAAAAGATTTATACATTAGAATAAAATATCTAATAATATAAACATTTTCATTCAGCATTTAACTGAAAATGCTGGTATCTGTATCCTTCAAATTTGTATTTTTTCTGTTACAATTTAGTTCCTACATACAAATTAGAAAATGAGTAAGATGTGGCGACATTCTGAGCCCTCATTCACACAGCAGAGAAAAATCAGAATGAGTTGAGAATACTTGGATTTTTCTACTTTAGTATTTAAAAAGATTAGGAAGCTACTGTCCTAATACCCAAAGAAGCTGTCAGTAACTCAAGAAACTGGGGGAACAAGTGTATTATCATCAATTGATGTGCAGAGTTTTCTCCTTCAAAGCAAGCAAAATTCACCTAAAACATTGTTCATGGAAAAGAAAAATCAATGCTGCATTTATATAACAATGAATCAGGCTTATCAGATACTGAAAACCTATGTGCAACTCTTGATTACTCATTAGAAGAAAAAAAGTAATAAAAAAGGTAACTTGCATTGCTATCCTCGGGATCTTCTAAACCATCAGGTCGACTAAGATTGCGTGAAGGCTGACTACACACTACATCATCTTCTAGGTCCCAAAAGGAAGTTCTAACAGGTGGTCTTTGGATCTCATCAGGATTAAAAGCGCCATCTGCTCCATCTGAAGAAAAATGAATTACAGCACCTTTGTTCAGCAGAGTTTGTATTTTGAGATTACAGATGCGCTACCTTACATTAAAAATCAACACTTACATTTTTGGTTTAGATAGTATAAAACAATAGAAGACAAATCACCTTTTTCAAAAGGTGTCTCTTTAAAGCTTTGTTTACCTAATTGATTCTCATCAGTAAAATAAAGGCACATTAATGATTCGCATCAATCAATAAAGGCTCTGTACACCAGTATAAAGATTGCTGGTACTTAACCTGCACTAAATGAGCCACTACTTTTGAAACAGAGAAATAAATTATATTGGGGGGTGTGGGGGGGTGGCATTTACTTACCTCTTCTTTCCTGAATTGCATAAGGGTTTCCATATTGCAATACCGGTAGTCTATTCGGCACTGCAGGCACTGGTCCGTTTTCCTCTGAATACGGGTTGCGAAAGTGTAGTATCTGTTGTGAAACCTGCCCTTCCATCATCCTTCCAGCTTGATTACCTGGTGTCCTGCCAAGTTCCTAAATAATGCAAAGTTTAAAATGTAATTAATCCATGGAGTCCTAGCAAAGTTTGATATTTTTATGGACTATTTGTTTTTAAAAATACATCTGCTAATCCTCCCACTGTCTCTTCATCTTGCTGTCATGCCAAATATACCATACATACCAGAAATAGTCAATGAAGAAAAAAAAAATACAAAGAAGATATTTTAAAGATTTTTTTTTTTCTCATTTTGTCATCAGTTAATTCAAATTACATAAACAGAACTGCCACTTTTTTCAAGAAATATCTGCATCCTTTACAATGAGGAAAAATCAGTTCAATAGGTAAAAATTGGTGGATTAACAGTAACAACTAACGATAATGTACAGTGAGAAAAGTTTTTAAAAGTTACAATTAAAAATAATCCTTTTTTCATACCATACCATTAAAGAATGTACCATTTTAGTAGGTGAAGTACATCTATGTACATACTCAACATAATTCACTATGAATTCCTGAGTGACAGATATTTGAAGAACTATTAAGTATATCACACTGGATCCTTTCTGGTATCTAACAGCAGCAGAATGTTGACCTACATGAAGTGTAGCTTAACATTCCACTTTCAGTAGGAAATTAAGAACGTTAGAACAAACTTTTGTTCACTGTCCTTCATATGCATGCACACATACATGGGGAAAGAAACCAGCAAAGAGAATTCAGAAGCAGTTTCATGTGTTTTCTACAATGTAACTTCCTTAGAGTTACCCTTACTTGCACGCACAGTCACATAGGCACATTAAGCTCTGTACATTTATTTGCAGGTGTGTAGATGTAGCTGTGTTTAAAACTGGAAGAGAATTACTTTGGCCAAATGTAGAGATCCTACCAAATATATTCACCTAAAACTATACCTACAGAGGCAAAGATCTGTTCCTTTTCCTTGTTCTCAGTTCCTTTAAAAATCGATTTTTAAATACACGATGAAATATGTTAAACCAGTTGGAACAATTTTATCCTGGTTTGTGATTCTGCTTGGTGATCATGTTCCACTTGTAATTATTAGGGGATTTTTTAGTTGTTGTTATTATGTCAAAATATTTCTATTACCATTATACCAAGTATAGCCAAAAACTCCCTTGTCCTACTCACTGCTAACACAGCTGAAATTTTTGCATATTTGTCCTTTTGTGAACAGAAAAAAGAAAAAGGAATGTTTGGGGTTTTTCAATTAACATACAGTATTATCTACGAAGTTGAGAAGTGGTTTGTGGCTTGCAATGACTGAAGATATGAGAACACTTCTGAGTTGCACCGTAAAGCAGACTTAATCCAGTTGGTACCTTTTTGGTTTTACATTCAAAAAAGACACACAGTATAAAAAAAATTACAATCTAAATGTAAATCAAAGGCAGAGGGGGGGGAAAAGAGAACAATGAAGTAATAAGACAGGTCAACATATTAAGAAGTGATTTCTACATCAATAGCATGAAGTTGTCAGCTTCTTCATGGGCATGAGGGAAAAGCTAGTTTGCAGGAGCACCCTGAAGAAAATACTGTTACTCAGTGGAAATCTCTCTCCAAAACAAAACAAAATAGCATGGAAAAAAGCACACAAGTATGCACATTTGAAAATGTAACAGAACAATGATGAAGCATGGTCTCACAGATCTACTCATGATATTTGAACATAGGGAAGGAAAGAAGACAGAGAATGGTAGGTCAGGAAAGATCTGGAAAGGATGCTGAAAGCGGAACAAGTAACTTCTGATAAATGCAGCACAGGCTGAGAGTCAAAATGATGAGCTAGGAAAATGCTGTGTACCCTACAATGCTTTCTGAATGAAAGCAAGTGAGAAAAGGTTTCTCCCATCTAGGCTAGAATGGGCCGCAGCAGGTGTGACAATTCTATTGAAATTCTGGGCAAGATTTTTAACTTGATGGGCAGCTGGAGGAGACCACATTGCAGATACTTTTTACATCAGCAGGACTTAGGTAAACACTGGGATAACAAAAATTTAAAAACGGGTCAGATTGGTACAGCAAATCGTCTTCATTCTAGACTATAACCTAGGTATGGTGGTCACGCCCCTAGCAATCATGCAAAGGCCCCTGAATATATATGTAAACTCAGCACTAACTAGGTAGGCCTATTGATTAATTCTCAATTTTTTTAATAGCATTCAGACAATTTATTCTAGAAAGAAAAACTATTACTCAAGGTTGGTATTTTCTATTTATATTAACAAATAGAAATTAGTTATACTTTTCACAAAGGTAATCCAGACTAGGTTACTTATTTCAAACAATACTTATACTACAAACATCATACGGAACAAAACTGCACTTATACTACCGTCCAATTACAAATGAGTGGATTTTAAATCCATGAGAAGTTGTATTTTCATATAGGGATTCCAAAGTTATTACACTTCCTGTGAAAAATAATTTGCCTTCTATGAACTTCATGAGCAAAGTTCTAGTTCATCCTTCTTCCCCCTTCTTAAATCCTCACCTACTTTATATATACATGTTTACTTCCAAAATTCAGTGTTTTCATCCAAAATAAAAAATAGTTGAATTTATTGAAAGGCTTAAATGACCTGCTGTATTTAATTCTATTGTTTAAATATTTGTATCAAAGGCAATGAATTCTCTAAGAAAAGCTCAAAACAGAACTCAAAAAAATTAATATACTTAAAATTCTACATTCTTGCATATAATCCATAGAGACAGTAGTAATTATAAACTACTAAAGGGTTTTTATAACTTAGAAACTGTTAAAACTCCAAGCCAATATCTATAAGACAGTAATTAAAGTGACTGAAGTGTGGTCAGCGCATCAACTGTAATTCATCCAAAGAAAAGTCTTTCTCATCCTTCCACTTAATAAAATGGGTTAAGGGAAAGACAGCATGTATGCCAAGAATATCCAAAGCAATATGCCGTTTACAATTCAGAACCAAGCAAAAAACCTCTGAGATGTAAAGTGACAATAATAATTTAAAAAAGAGAGTGTTAAGACAGATATGCTTTCCAATAATTTTTTTCTGATTAGCATTTTCTTCTGAACTCTCTGGGTTCATGTTTAATATTTGCTAATGTAATATTAACAAAAACCTCGAAGATGGAAGTGTGTGTTTGCTCCAGAATACTTTGAATTCAAACCTAAAACCAAGACTTCAATTAGTGATTTAACTACATGAGAAGCTAAATGTCTCAGTTATTAAAAGGAACAACTCAAGGAGTTTTTCTTAAAAACAGGTAAACTTCAGCCGAAACACTAGAATACAAAAATGCAAAATCAAGTAGCAGTAACTACTCTGAAAACAAAATGCCACTCAAACAAAAAAAGATGGAGATTATACATTTATTGCTATATACGTACTATCAGGTTTCAGACATAAAGGGTTTGGACTCCAACAGCAACATCATAAAGTCATTTTCAAACAAGAAAAGAGTAGTTTCTACAAATGGTAAGGCAGCTTACAGAATCTTTTTTGGAGCACTGGCTGCAAAACAGTAGTGTTTATTTTCTTTTAGAAAAACTTTCTAATACAGGACAACACAATTTCTGTCTAACACCCTCCTGTAGATATGATACAAAGCTATGCTAGCAGTACTTTAGATTTATAGACTAAATTGCATATGATTGAAATGGTTAGGGTTAAATGGTTAGGATTACATCTTAAAGTTTTAGTGAACACGTAAAATCCAAATAATTAATCTTTACTCAATACAAAGCAGGAACAATTAATTATCAGTGAAACTAAGATTTTCCTTTTTAAAATCAATTTCTTCTGCAATATGGAAGCAGTTTGGAATGAGAGGTAGTGGCATGAATACTTTAATTTTAGCATAAAATTAAAACAGAATGTAGATCAAAGTGACTGTAAAAAGGTGCTGTAAAATAGCCTTAGCCAGAAGGTGGAAGGCTAGGGTAGAAACTGCTTAAAAAATAAAAAAAATAAATCAAAGGCTATATAAGTATGTAAATAAAACAGAAACCAAGTAATTTTATAGGTTTGAAGAGACACCAAATGAACATTTTTAGCATGCTATGGTTGGTGGCATTTATCAACAAACACCAATAATGGAGTATAAATTGAAAAACTGTTTACTATACTGTGCTTAACCTTTTAAATCATGGTTCCAGTCTAGCAAGGCACTTTGATTCTTCTTTGTAATGTAAATATCTATAAATTTGGTAGATAAGGTTCCAAGCTTTTATAAGCTCCATACATTATTATTACAATTGTTCTCCTTCTTATGTGTGGTGTTTAAAATTACTCCCTCCAGCTAAACTAGATTCATCAAAACTCAATTTTTATTTTGCTTTATTTTGAATTAGAAAAATATGAGAGAAATCTATTAAAAATTTTAAATGTTTGGTTAAAAAAAAAAGCTAATTTAAATACCAACTACTTGAGAATCTAGAATTTTACTAAACATTTAACTAGCTTAATCTGAAATTAGTTTAATTTCAATTTATCAGTACACAAATTCCTGGGTTTACTAAATATCCATTCACACGAGATTTTTTAAGTAATCGCAACCATCCTATAACTTTTCCACAATATCATGCAATACTATCTGAATGTAATAAAGACATTTTATTATTTCGTTTTTCAGTAAAGCCTAGCTTTGATTAATTGCCATATAATACCTTAGAGGTACTTCCAACATTAGAACATTAGCATTAATATTTCAGAATCTCTGGTTTAACAGTAAGGGTAATGAATTTGATTAGACAGTGAACGCTTGAAAGTAGCAGTCCATTTTCTATCATATATTTTTAAAAAATCAGAGTATGGTTTGTGTATCTTTCTTTTCTGATAAAGATATTTTTCAGTTGTAGTTTACTGAAGTCACTACTGTCACATGTCAAGCTGCTCTTATTATTACAAGCAGTCAGTAAGAGAACCGCAGATGTCAAAAGGATTTGGCTGTACGCACACATCATGAAAAAATTGGAGATTATACTGTTGAAATATCTACATCTCTAGTTATAGCACAACATGGAAAAAATAAACTGTCAGGCTAAGTATGTATGTACCATTCATGTCTTATGCCAGGATTCCAAAGGGAATGAGGTTTACTAATTGTGCTGCTATCAGCCAGTAACTCCTGAAAGTATCAGTGAGAGAGTCTGTCTCAAAGAAATTAAATTCCTGCAAGTTTTGCTAACTGATGCTCCCTTAGAGGACAGAAAGGCCGCAGCATGAGCTCAGTAATAACCTTTTCTCTCTGGCCAAGCAGCACACACACACAGAGCTGGTATCAGGGGCTGAACCTCTTTCACTAAGAGATACAGAGGAGTAAAGGAAAGAGTAAAAGGGAGTAAAAAAAGGAAGGAGGCTGGAAGGCCACTGAAAACTTGTAGAAAAACAGCAATGCTGCTGAGATGAGAAAGGAATATAGGACAAAATCTAGTAGGAATTCCAATGTTCTGTGAACTGTACAGCTAGCTGCCATTTCAGATTATTAATTTACACTATCTGCAAACCAAAATAATTATTTTGGATCCTGGATGGAATATCATTCTAGATAGGAACAAAATATTTTTTGACACCATAACATTTTTGTTAGATTATATGCAGAAAATATTCTGGAACACTATTACAGAACAATAAATGACAATATTTTCAAAGGCTGAGTCAGTTTTGTCAAGTTGGTATACTACAGTGTACATTTTTTAAAAAAACTGTGTTAGTACTATTAATAGAATTTGTAGTTTAAAATACTAATTCATTTTGGCAAAACATCCAAATACAGAAAAGGAACAAACCCTCACTGCAATTCCTCCAACCAAAGAGCTTCACAAGTGTTAATTTAGAAAATTTAACAGGAATCCTGACAATACCTTCTCACTGGTAAAGAGTTCCAACTGTGATGCCAGTTCCTTTATTCGTCTCTCTTTTTCTGCCAGCTGAACCTATATGAAAAGGAGTTTAAGGTTTCTATATTAGTGAATAGAAACTTTCCCTGTGTGTTATATTGTGAAACCATAAAGTTCGGTGATTAAGTTCATCTTTCAGATGGAAATTATTTTGTCAACTATAGTTACACGCAACATCTAGTACTACTACAAATCAAAACCAACAATTCTCCCAAAGTTTATCTACTGGATAACAGGAGTACATTAGCAGCCTTTTCTCGCCAGTTGTCAGAGAACAGTTCTGGAATGATAAAATCCTAGGTTAAAAACCTGGAGCAGAGCCAGTAATGCTAACGGCAGGAGAGACACCACTGCCCAGGATTGCAAGCCTCATCTCATTATTTCTAATGGAAGCCGGTGGCAAGATTTCAGTGATTTATTTCATTCACTTCTCTATAGTTCTTATGTCCCACCACAGAACTGAGAGAACCAAAATCTCCTCCTACCTCAAAAATACTAAATTTGTTTCACAGACATCCTTGCATCTCTGTTGGGTGCTCTGGGAGTAGGTGCAACTGATTCTTCCAGGCTTCCTCCTTGCTTCAAAATTATTATTTAAATAATCTTTCTCTACAAAGGGCTATTTTCTTTGGATTCTGGTTACTTTAGAGACTGCCTCTCCATTTGTTTTTCTAGCATATAAGATCAATGCTCTGCACAGTTACGTATCAATTTTTTTTCCATTCTGAAATTCCCTCTCCTAGTTCAGGTCAGAGAGAAATCTACTGACTGGGAAGACAAGCTCACTTTTTCTCCCCCACCTGCACCCTCCTGATTGATAACAAGTTTTGAATTGCAGTCAAAATGCTTTCAATTTTGGAACCAATTATTTATTACTCCTGCTGTTGAGAAGTTAAAAACAAACTTATTTTACATCAAATTACACATGGCAACCAATCACTGCCAATTAATAAATTTAAGTGAATTGAAGAGAACCATGCATTTTATAAAGTTGAAATTGAAGCTTTGAAAAGTGTCGAATAAAGGACAGCACAGCCTCTAGGTGCTGAAATGAGCTGTAGAGTAATTCAGTACTGTATAAAGAAAAAGTGCTGTGATTTCTAATAGAAGGGGGGGTTCCTACTAGAACCGATATAGACACAGTTCAGTTTAATCCCTGTTCATTACAATGGGCAAAAATGGACAACAGAGAGTATTCTATCCTGTCAACTACACTATCACTGTTAGACTGCAAACAAGCGTAAAAGCTAGTCTTATGGAAATCTGTTGCTCTTATCTCGTCCTTGTTGACCTAAAAAGCCACTTCAGCATATGTATTACTATCACATAACCTCAAAGATTAAGTAAGGCCTTGTATAAGCTAAAGCTGACCGTTACGCATAACTTTCTGGTGCATGTGTTACATCACTCTACTAAGACTATAGTTGAGATACTCCAAATTAAATTCTCTCATGATAATTTTAAAAACCAAAATATCACTCATCTTGTATCTCTCTAGTTAATTGAGATAAAATGCATTAGATGTTACTACACTAGTAACACAGCATGCAATATGAGGATTTTAGACGAACGTGCCCATCAATAGTCCTGTTAGTATTATAGTAAGCAACAGGAAATTAGAATTCTCTACCCCCTTTTCTTCCTGTAATACAAGATTAACGTCATTTGGACATTAGTCTAAATCCACAATATTAAAACACTGAGAGCCATTTGGTAATATACTTAGCAGATCTGTCTCACTTTAAAAGAAGCATTACAAGACTGTGTTGTTTCTACAAGTGCAAACCAGAATTTCTATTTAAAGCAAAAATACATTTAGTGGCTTTTCTCCATTAAAACTCTTCATTACTTGAACTATTAGAAATGAGCAGCTATGTTAAGAACATGATACCATTCATTGTCATAAACAAAGTCTGTAACTTACTTTATACTGATCCTCCATTGCTGCTAGCTGTAATTTTATACTTTCATTGATTTTCACTTGTTCTTTCCACTTCAGCTCCAGTTTAGCCAGTTCATCAGCATAAACACTGCATTTCATCTTCTCGTCCTAAAGTAGTTTATACCATGGCATGAAATTTTCACAATTTTAAGAGACTTCCCCCTCCTGCCCCCACAACAATACTGCGTAACTCCGTGCTTTTACAAATGGCTTCCCCAAGAAATCAAGCCTGACTCAACTTTGAAGAGGACAGGACCACTGAACACTGCATAAATGATGTTCAATACCTATTTTTTTTTCTTGCCTGAGTTTTCAACAAGCTGATACTCCTTTTTAGCTTCATAGTTTCAAGTTTCTTTGTATCCTTATACAAATTCATAATTATCCTTTCAAGTGCCTCACTTCAATACAAAACCTTTCCCTATGCAACTATTACAACCTAAATATCTTTCATCCAGAAGGTCAAAGGCAAAGTTTTCTTTAAGCATCACTATAGAAGAAACAGCCAGCAGAAGTTAATGCAGGCTCTCCACAGACAGGGTAATAAGCAGAATTACATGACAATTGTTACACCCTGGAGAGCACATTAAAGTAGAGTAATCTCCTTGCAATAAATAAGACAAACAAGATAAGTGAATGTATTATGACTATTCAAGAATAAAACATATTAAAGTAGAGAAAAATTCCAAATTTTTAATTCTAAACTTAATTAGAACGTTCCTGAGTTCATAATGTTGATTAATGTTTTTTTTTAATCCCTAAACAGCAAGCAAACAATGAACAGAGACAACACCTAGAAAGCATTTTTTAAACAATTCAACTTTTCACCAGCATCACTGATGCAATACTCCATTGTCATACATACATCTAAACTGGCTAAATGAAAATCAAGTTAGGACTGACAAGTATTAATATTTGAAGGGCATTACTGTTGTGACTACAGCACTACTGGTGCCAACTTTGGCTGAAGCCCCATGCCTGGAAGCATTTAAGACCAGGTTGGATGAGGCTTTGGGCAATGTGGTCTACTGGAGGGTGTCCCTGCCCGCAGCAGGGGGGTTGGAACTAGATGATCTTTAAGGTCCCTTCCAACCCAAACCATTCTATGATCGTATGATAAATGCCTTTACGTATGACTGAGCCTAAGCTAGTAGGCAGCACCTACTCAGACATCCAAACACTGTAAAAGTCCAGGACAGTCTGATTTGAAGGGAGTTCTCACACTTGAACAGCATATTGGATAAACACTGCTATACTTGTTCCAGACATCAGCTGGCTTATAGCAACATGCCGTATTTGATTTATAAAAGCAATTATACATAAAATATAATGAAAAAAAAAGAGAGTATTTAAAACTTCAAGCATAGAAGTAGTAGTAGTATTGTTCATTTGTTTTACTGCATGTGGGTTATCCTGAGTCGTCCTTGTCTCTAACACCATAGGTAATCGAGAGCTGACTTAATAAAAATGTGTTTTCTAACGTTAAGATTTCTACCATAATCACAGTGTATCACACAAACGAGCAAGGCAACTCAGCTGGGTAGGCGTTGTAGTTTTAAGACTTAGCACCTATAGCTACTTTCTGTTCAGCTTTCCGAAGCAGCCATTTACTTACTGCCAACATTTGCTTGCATTTCTTATACTTCTCTGTTTTCTCTGCAATTTCTTTATTCATTTCACGTACTTGCTCCTTTACCATGAATTCCGAAACTATATCAGATGAAATGGGGCTAACTGTGAACATTGAAGAAAAGACAAGAATATTGATTTTTTTTTTTTGTTCCATAAATAAAGTTTGTATAAAAGATGACAGGCCAAATTTCACAGTGCATCAAGAACAGTGCTCCATGTTATCCAAGCAAATAGAGACAATCAGTGTCATGTGGCTAGTGATATGCAAGATCAGCAGTCATACTGGCATGTCTGTGTTCAGTTCTCTCACACACTTTAGATGAACATAAATATACACACACATACTACAAAGGTCAATGTAAAACCTCACAAGAAAGTAAACCTCAGAATATATATGGTATGATATCATGCTAGATACTTTATTCTTCCATAAAAACATGAAGTGCCTCAGCAATCTACTTCATCCCATCGCATACTCTAACTGAGGTTGCTGGGATTTTACTTGTTTTAGGAAACACTTGTATTTACTTAAGACAGAAGGAAACAGACAGAAATGACAACCTATAGTCTCTATAGACAGAAAGAATGTGGGAATTATAACGTAACACAAAATTAGTCAACTTCTAGTGGCATTTATAAATTTAAATTGAATAATAAACCAGGCTTAGTTTTAACCCGTTATATGTTTAAGTTTTAGAAGATTAGTTTTGTAAGAACTTAATAGTTCATAAAAATTATAACCTAGCTAAACATTTTCTAATAAACCACTACTGTCTATAAATCATGAGAATAATCTATAGACTTGACCTTGCCATCACATAATCAGAACTTTTTAGTGGATTTTACAGTAGAATGCTACAGTGGGTAGTCATAACAGGACTGTAAAATTGCCAAGCTATTGTACACAATTTGCAAATTTGGGGAGTATTTTTTTTCATTAATTGTTTAGAGCTCGTTTTGCCAAGCTAATGTGTTAACTATCAAGCAGAAATTCAAGAGTTCAGTCCTACTGACATTAACAAATATCAGCTGAACTGTTTTGAAAAGATACCCGAAGTTCTTTAAGAATGTTACCACTTGAAAAAAGATACAAGATTTTTAGATTAATTTTGACATTTCTAGTCGTTGCTTTAACTAAAACATAACAAGTCCATCTACGTTATAATATAGGTACTATTAGGGACTATACCACATAGACAACACTTTCAGGCTGATACAAATAGACAAAATTTAAGCTGTTGATACCTGGAGATGCAGACAACTTTTTGTCTGTAACAACGGCAGTAGCTGTCTCACTGTTAGATGCATCTGTCAGTTTCTGTTGATGCCCTGCAATTTTCTTTGTGAAAAGAAATTTTGGTTTGGTATTTAATTAAATGAAAGTCAAAGCAAAAAGTAACATATATCTTGCACTATCATCTCCTCCAAAACTGGACTAGATAGAATTGCTCATTAAAATAGGAGGTAATAATAAATATGCAAACATATTTAATTCTACTAACACTGAAATTGCCTCAGACCATGATTTTTATAATCTTACATTATAAAGTTCTTTTTCCCTAAACACAGTGATTTCTATGCAAATTATTAGAAAAATCTCATTTTCTAGAGAATTAGTTACACTTAAATCCATCAACTTAAATCTAATATTCCATTAGGAGATGGAGTCTGTATTACTAATGAGTGCTGGACTTCCGGTGTCAACATAGTGAAATTTGGTGTTTGTTATCAGATGTAAAACATAGTCAAAGATGTGGAAGAACTTTAAGGAAAAGTCACATGCGTTCTGACATGACACCTCATTCACCATTGACCTTCTGGATGAGAAGACAACTTTTTAAAGTAATCTGTGGATCAAAGCTGGGTAACTACCCCATTTGTTCTTTGGATAGCAGAAATACTTAAGTCTGTTTTTCTTAAGAATTCACACTTGTGCATCTTGCCATTGCTCATATACAACGTCATATTCCCCGTTTGAGCTCCTCTCCAACTCAGTCACTAATTTTCACAAAATTCTGAAGAACACTGCTCTCAAATCTATTTGAAATTCACTAACAGGTTCATTTACTAGGTGGCATAACACTCACATCATCATTGCAAACGCCTCATTTATTTATGGAACAAAGCTTAGAAGAGTGATAAGAAAACAAAATTCATATGGCATACAACTATATACTGTGTTGTGGAAACTTTCTCCCCATTTCACTTTGAAATCTTCCTCCAAGTTCTCCATTTCCCCCACTTTTGGGTTAGGATTTTGGGGTTTTTTGTGGTGGTGGTGGTGGTACTGAATAGAGGTAGTAATTATGAGGTTTCGCCTGCTTCAGTTTCAAAATTCTTCCTTGAACAATGTTATACTTATAGATTCATCCAAACTCTGTTAGCTTTCTACATACACCAGTTACTACAAATCCTATGCTTGGTTTTGGCAACTTAAGTTTCTAAAAAGAATCATACAAGTAATTTAGCTTTATGGAACAAAATGGTAAATTAAAGAGCCATTGCTTACTGCATGTTTTAATCCTTTTTAAAAGCACTGGTTTTTGCAGAATAGCTGCTGAAAAGTTAAAAAAAGCAAGTGCAATTCCTCCCATTCTACTTACTGCCTGTTCTGTAAACTTGTTTACTTGTTTTTGAAGTTTTTGACATTCTTTGAATTTTTCCTTGTAATGGTCAGCAGCCATTTGCAGACGAAGCTTCAGATCTTCAACTTCTCTGCGTAGTTCCTGCTCTACTGTGTTTGAAGTTTCCTTAAAAAAAAAAAAATAGAAACTGTTCTCCCTTTTGTTCAAATACAACTATTTCCCAAAAAAGCCTTTTTTCAATTAGAGCAAGCATAATGCTCTGTGTAAGTACAGAAGAAGTTCCTATTTTCTTAGTGGAAAGGAAAGGAACAGAGCAGCAGAGCACAGATAGAGGCAGCATCTGTGCTGAACTTCATTCCAAGCAGGACACAGTAAATAGCAAGGGAGTAAACTGGCACTGGTATAATACCAGAGATAGGTAAAGAGGATTCTTATTCTATTGGCTGATTCCAGAAAGTGCTCTAACTATCTAACTAGTATAGCCATGTGGCAAAAATGGACAGACTGTATTCCATCACAATATGTTTCTACTGGAAGTGGTTCAGTTGAGCTGTAACATTGATACACGACCTAGCAAACTACATTTACCAACTGGATTCTTTCTGGTAATTTGAGTCATTCAGATGATCTGCTACTTCTTTCAGGATACATTTCAAAGACATTGGATACAACTGAACTTCTTAGAAAAAGCATGTAATTCTTTGTTATTTTAAATATAATAGTTCTTCTGAGGGTTGTACTATTCTCTTCCTATTTACTGCACTATTTTAATTACTGTTCAGCTCAATATATTTTTTTCAAACTGCCACATCATTCCAGTAATCCTAGTAGCGAACTAATCCAATACAGTTGCAGTCATGGAAGATCTGGTACAAAGCTCACTTAAGTCACAATGATGAAACTTGTATTAGCTCACTAGAGTTTTATCTAAGATGAAGGAAGTCAAGACACTTTCCATTACATTAATATTTTTATACTTATAAATAGTAAAGCAAATTAACTTTGACCACAAATATTGGAAGGACTCATAATAATCAAGAGAGAATCCATCAATGAGGAAAGAACAGCATCATAGAAATTTCTATAAATTCTCTTATCTGAATGAATTTTCAATGCTACTGTGGCTCATGTAAAAGAATTAAGAAAGGGAGAGGATTCAAAATAATAAATACTGTATTATTCTGTGAAAATAATCTGGAGGTGGAGGGAAGTTGCTCTAAGTAGTAGCAGAAACCTTCTTTCTTAACAGCCTTCCAAATCAGCTAACATGCACTTGATTTAAGATAGTATCTTGAGTGCTCAAAAAGAATTTGATAATGATTTGCACTAATCATCCAGAAACGTATTTTATTCCCCAACTTTAGCAAAGCTAGCTCTAATAGATTTTATAAATACAGATAAACTTCAGTACTAAATACTGACAATTTACCTGTTCATTTTTCAAAGTCGTGATCTTTTTAAGTTCAGCTAAAGCATCAGCAAGCTGCTTTTTCAATTTTTCATTTTCCAGACGTGCACTGTGAAGATCTGCCATCGTCTTATCTCGCACGTTTACTGCATCGCTCAGCTCTTTTGACATAAGGACAGCTTCTTGTTTGCTAGCCTGAATTTGATCTTCAGCTTTCCGAAGCTGTTCTTTTAAAATACTTGCATCCTCCTGGGATAGAAAAGAGAGGGAAGAGAATCCATAATTTTTTAATTCAAAGCTTAAATAAAGGTTGGTATAGGGATTAGACACATTTGAAAGAAAAAAATCAAGTTTTCCTGGTGGCTTTAGCAAAACCACTAAATCAAGAAGTTAGTACACAAGGATCATTTTGCACATTTGCCGCCTTTGCCAACAACAGCGTGCAAATATATTTCACTATGACATAAAGGCAAATTTAAACATCATTATTCTATCTATACTGGATTTTTGTTGTATTTTCAGCTCTAAACATATGCCAAAAAAAGTCTTTCTGTCTTCCAGAACATCTTTGCTTATATCACCATAGAACTCTTCACAGGCACAAACGGCCATCCAGCTTCAAAACCAAAGGTCACCCCACAGCAAGACGCTGCAGGCAACAAGTAAGAGGTCTTACAATGCCTACAATCAGTTGACGTAAGACACTGTAAAGGAGCTTTGGGATGTTTTTCTCACAGCTCCATTTCCCAAGATCTTGCACAACAAGCTTTTCAGAAGGAAATGAGAACAAAAAGTAGTGAAGAGCAAGCTGCAGCATGCAGCACTAAGACTCTCGACGCTGCTGCAGCTCCATAGGGCAGCCCAAGGGCTAACTGACCAAGCTGCACTACTGGCCTCTCACTCCTCAGAAAAGCCCAGGATTAAAATAAATAAGTACATAACTCCAAAGCTATTATAAGCTGCTCGCAGCTTCTGGGCTTCCTGAAGGCATAATCATCTCATATTCTTGAGTCTAGACATACATTCAGGTATTTCTAGTAAATTATTTGTTAATTTTTGAATAATCACTTAACATAGCAAGTCCAGAGGAATACTGATATATTTTGCAAACATTTATGAAGATAGATGGACTAGGAAATGCCCTAAAGTCCTGTCCCTTAGCTATTTTTAACAGCACATAATGCATCAGTTCCATATTTCAGTAAATATCTGCAGTTTCACAGTATAAGATGAAAATGTTAATGATCCTATCAGAAATGACACAAGCATTTCAAGATTAATAAATGACAGTAATATTTTGTTGCTTCAGCACTGGCATACACACCACCCCACCCCAACATGTTTCTACTTCAAAGTAGAATACAGTAGTAGTTTAACACACTCAGAAACTAACCTGCAGAGCAGTCAAAAGATTAAAACAAGATAAGCTGTAACTTAAAGCAAGATAGTGTGTTCTTTTGTCCTCTTGCTATTTCCATTCTCAACAGCACTACTTTTTTACTTAAATTTTACATTCATAACTCACATTAACACAATTTCTGTTCTTTTGAGATCTAGATTGTTTTCCCTGTGAGAAGGCTGGAAAGATACACAAGATAAAGTCACCCGTATAATCTGACTTTTCCATGCTGGCCTCAAAGGCTGTGTCTACATTAGCTCTCTAGTTTGGATCAAGAGCACATTTGCAAAGCAAAAGCTCCCAGACAATTCCACTATTACCTATTACGCTGCAGATCACAGGACAGAGCAGTCTCAGGGCACAGAAACTGCATTCCTTTCGGATGAAATTAAACAAGAACAACATCAGGAACAAACACCTAATGCATATGCTATCCATAGTAACACACTAAAACTTGTCTGAGGTAACCCCACCTGGACCATGGACAGCACAGATACCAGCTATTCAATAATTTCACCCTCCTACTATACCAAACTGTTTGCTAACCACAATGCTACCACACTGTGTAGTAAAAATCACCTCTTTCTTAGAAGTACTACTGGCACTCTTATTGCTGAGTTCTCAGTCAATTTAGTCCATTTATATGGTATCTTATCCTTTCTCAGGTTTTATACCATTGTACCTTCACAGTACACTCACCTAACAATTCTTTCAGTACATCTTTCGAAGTCTCCTCTTTTCTCCTCCACCACCCTCTGCAGTCTCAACATACCTACATTCTTAACTTTTCTCTTTTCTTCAACCAGCTTCCTTTTCCATGAAGTTAAAAGCAACTCAGAGGAGCACACTGTTTTTACTGGAGCTCTTTTACTGAACTCACAAATTACCCTTTCCACGCATAGTTCATCTCAATAGTTCATTAGGTGAGACACCTCAACAAGCTCAGAACGTGCACGACTAAAACCAAATCGCTCATTTTCTGCATCTGCAGAGAGCACTATAATCATCTTGCCTCTCAGCCTACACTCCGGTGATATCTTCAACTTCTTCCTTTCTCTTGTCAAACACATACAACCTTAAATATGCTTATTTTAAACCAGGCCAATTACATTAGTAATGCTTACCTTGTTTGATGAGGAGAGCAAAAAAGCTTTCTTCATATTTTCTTTTTCAGCTATAAATAGCTGTAATCTGCCAACCTCCTCTTTATAATACGATATCATATTTTCTTTGTTTGCATCCAAATTCTTAAACGTCTGGATTTCTTTTACTAGCTTGGTGTTTTCTATTTCTGTATTCTTCAAGTGTATCTGTAATGATGCTAAAAAATGTCAAACTCTTCTTCCACGTTATGAAAACTACTCTTCACCTGTCCATTTAAGTGTTCACTGAACTCTAACTCATCTCAGACAGATTAGAACAGGTAAAGAGAAAAATTAAACATTTGATAGTATCACTGCCTCCAGCTCAGTTTTTCTGGCTGGACTTCTTCCAGCCTGTTCATCTAACAACAGCTCCACTCTACAGCTAGAAGTTATGGCTCTGGTTTATGTCCACATCCAGTTAAGCTATTCAGAATTCACTTCTCTCTTCACAAATGCTGGACAACTAAGGACAAGCAAAAAAACGAATGACTTGAAGAAAACTAAAGAGAAATTAAACTTCTAGTAGTATCTACTTGCAATCATCTAAGCAAACAGGATTACATCAGCAATATTCATTTCCAAAGACAGCAAATTACTTTAACAACTCTAGAGCTGTTTTTAAACCTATCACCAACTCTATCATATTATGCCCAGTAAAGGGTAACTGTCACACTCAAGTGATGCCCACTCAAGGACTAGAAGATGTGTGTTGCTTATTTACAAAGGGATTCCCTGCTTGTGAAAGATGTTTTGAGATTTTATGACTTCTGGTGTATATCTAATACTGTGTGCCACAAAGACATTTTCCTATGAACAGAAATAATCTTTTAAATACACTTGATTTGTTTCATACATATAAGGATTTAATTGTTTTAGCAGATAGGACTTTTTTTTTTTTCCCTTTTTCAAGGTGAGGGGGCAGCAAACTGTATTTTATTTTAAATATGCATGTGTCAATAAGAGCAAAAGAAATCAGCTACGCTAGTAAAAATCAATGCAACAGATCCTACCAAAGCTTGTCAGTTATGCACAAGACTCAAGAATAGGGATCTAGAAAACACCGTCTGGAGAGAGAACTTAGAAAAGTAAAAAGTAATTTACTTACGAAAAAGTGCGTTAAGAAAACCAGTTACTGGGTGATGCACTGTATAACTAAAGAACTTCCTCACTAGTGTCCATTATTTTTTGTTACTATGCCTGCATTTTAACAAATTGGTAATCCATTCTCCTTGTTAGAGAGCTTTTTTTATGATGGGATGAATTCAGATGCTATTTTCCTCATTCATTTTTATATGAGAACATCTATAACTGCCTTAAAAATCTGTGCACAGAAGTTACTCACTTCCTTTTTTCCTTAACAAATTCAATTTATCAGACTTCTCCATAAAACTTTATTACCTTTATTTCAAATCACTTCATTTCAATGTGTACAGGTACAAGGAAAAAAGTTACCTTATAAAGTTCTTTTTCATCCTTTTCTGTCTTTAACACACATTCAAGTTGCTCCTTCTCAAGCAGCACTTTCTTCAGTTTGTCCTTCAGACTAAGACATTGACAAATTAATAGTACAGAACTATTAATACAGAAAAAACAATGCATACATTAAAAATTGTCAGTTTAAAAAAAACCAACAGTAAAATAAGGAAGGTAAGGAATAAAAGACTAAATACCTGTCTAATTCAGTTTCTTTTGCAATGGCTTTTTGAGTAACAGTCATGATATCTTCTTCAAGCTGGAGAACTTTTGAAGCAGCCTCATCATGCTTCTTCTTCAAATCATCAATTTCAGTTTTAAGAGCTTCTGATGCTTGAATATTATTCTTTAAAAAATTGTAAAAAGATGTCATTTAAGAACGCACCTCTTCAGAACTACAACACGCTATTTGAATTAATGCTAAAATATGGTCATCAGATTTCTTCTCTTCCTTAAAGTGTATGACAAGCCCATTGCAAGTATATATACATATATATAGAATATATAA